ATATATATATTATAATTTTAAATATAATATTTTTACTTTTTATACATTATAAAAATAATAAAATAATATTATCATACTGGGAAATAACATTAAAATAGAAGCAATCTGTTTTGTTGCTACGTTACATGGTTCTTCTCCTGGTTGAGATTGACAAGCACAAACTTCAATTATATGACCATCAGTCTATAGAAATAAAGGTACAATAAATTAATATAAATATGTATATGTAGGTTTATAAATTTATAAAATTTGAATATATATATACTTCGTAATTAAAGCATCCTGATGAAATAGCTGTTGTTTTATCTTCAAGTACTCTCCCACAATAATGGGAAGCGAATAAAACTAAAAATAAAAGTGATATTAATAATACTCGTATTTATAAAAAAGCAAAACCAAACTTACTTGCATTATTGTACTTATTAGTATATTTAATACATGTCAAGCCTTTTTGTAAATAACACATAGCTGAGTCTTCATTATCTTTATCATCTTTATGATCTAAATAAATTTCAGTCGTATTTGGGTAAAACCCTGAAAGAGAAATATAAATATCATCCATTATACAATAATTACACTATATAATTAAAATATGTACTTGTCATCTAACAGTACAAAGAAACTATATGAATTTATCGATAGTATCAATTTATACTCAGTACTTACATCCATCTATAATTGGTTTTACACATGGCACTCCAAGATATGAGTTTCCTGTACAATTTAATTTTAAAGTGTTGTTATAAGACATTGCCCCTGGCCAAGTAAATTTAAAACAGTAAGGCCGCTCGTCAATTCCTATAAAAAAAAACCATTAACTATTTTAATGCATTAAATAAATAAAAAATGTATATCTAAAACATGTATATAATACACATTAATTATCATAATTTTTAGTTGCTTAATAGGTAATTAATAATTACCTAATGCAAAACACCCATAGCAAATTAAAATTATGATTAACTTCAAAGTATTCATTTTGATAGATACTGTTCTTAACACTGCTTCAAATCTATAGAGATAACATGCTTAATCTGATAAGATCAATAGTCAGATAATTTAATGTCTCATACATTCTTATATATCTTTTGAAAAATAGTGTGAAAAGAATTTTTGTTAAAGAATTATCAGATATCGTTATCACACACTATACATATATATAAATAGAAAATAAATAAGGTAAATATTCGTGATTTATTTAAATAGTCGTCCAATGACTTCTGTATTTCATATTTGATAATAATATTAAAAAATAATAACAAGCAAACTTTTATAAAAAAATCATGATTTATACATGTAAATATATATATATATTATAAATTATATAATAATTTGTTCATTGAAGCTTATGATAAAGAATTTTTGGTAAGAATTTTGTTATAAAAATATGATAAGCTATTAAAATTCATCATGTCTTGTTAATGCTTGTCCAAAATCAGTTGCCTGAGAACCAACAAAAATATCATATTTATCTAATATTTCATCTTTAGTAAGTTTTTGATCAGCATCCGTATCAACTTCATAAATTAAATGTCGGGCTTCTGCTTCTGCATCATCGAAGTCCGCGGGAATAATCCAATTTTTTACCTATTAAGAAAATGGCAAACAGATTTTTATCAAAATAAATAAAAAGAATTGTTATACTTTGATATAGCTAACTAACCTCTTCAAAATCCATAAAACCATCACGGTCTTTATCTCTGTAAGATGAAAATTGTTCTTTTTCATTCTTAACCCATTCAGGCTCTTCTTCTTCGTCTGTACCTCTATACATGTCTCCTAAAAAGATAATAACACAATTGAATATATGAATTGCAAATATTATCATTTATAATTATTTTATTTTAGTTACCAATATATTCAGCAACTGATATTTTTCCATCTCCATCTTTATCAATATCTTCCATAGTTTCTAACACTACAATATCCTTCATATGATTAGCTTCTTCTGCATGCAGAAATGCAGCAAATTCTTCTTTTGTAAGCGCATCATCGTTATCAAGATCAGCTGCACTCCAACGTCTGCGATCTCTTTTGAGCATCGCTTCATAAGAAAATGTTTCCTCTTCTAATTTATCTTGATTATTACTTTCATTTTCATTGATATGTCCATAAAGTTTGTCTTTATATTCTTTCCATGGTAGCTTATCTTTTTCTTTTAAATTATATGATGCCCATTGATGATTAATATCATCTTGAATATATCGCCGCTGAGTATACAATATCCAATCTTTAAGTTCTTCCTTGGTAACAAATCCATCTTTGTCCGCATCTATTTTATCAACAATTATTCCTAATCTTCTAGTACTTTCCTCAGGACTTAATTGATCAAATGTTTTGGCATCTTCTCCAAGGAAAGCCTCATGATCGTAACTTGGATTATGTTGTGAGTTAATATAATGTTCCTGATCACTTAAATCCTATAATTATACATATAGACATACAATACATGTATAAAAATATTTTGCATAATTAAATATAAATTTAAATTACATGTATTTATAGACATTTCTTATATTTTATTTATTTATTTAGTACGAAAAAAATATGTAAAAATAAATTTCTAAAAGGCAAATAAATTAAGGTTACATACTTTTGTATCATTTTTATTAAAACTAATGTAATTTAAATTAGTAATTAAATGGACATTTATTTTGTGACTTTCATCATTCATTTCTAATTAAATGTCTATTTTTATTTACCTTATGCAGTACACGTTGTTTAGGCCCGTCCTCCGGTTTTGGAATAGCAGTAGCCGAAATAGTTAGAATAAATAAAATTTGAAAAACTGTGAGCTCTTGCATTGTTTTTAATATTGAAAAAATATAAAAATATGAACAAATTTTTATTTTCATATATATATCAATCCTTGAAATTGCACAATATACAAATTTTTCAATAAAATACGATTTTATATGACATAGACCAATCCTTCAGCATCCACATCAGCAGATCTTAATGTCTTAACCAACGTTAGACCCCCACTTACGAACTCCATATTTTTTTTAAAAAACTCGCACCGTAATACCGTTGTTGATCCTATAAGCGCTTGCTACGAACGTTATTTTATCCAACAACGTTCGGGAGATGTTCTACGTTCAAACCTACGCGCTTAATTTAGGTCACCATGAAAGGAGTATGCGTGAAATTTAATCGAATCATTTACATACGATCAAAATAATTCGAATGCAAACCTACAAATTATATAAAATTCTACATCTTTTCTAACAAAATAAATAAAAGTGCAATCCTATTAAATATTTAAATATTTTAAATCACTATCAACTTGATTTGATGTATTTCACTTATTTG